CACGAAGAGGGGCCGACCGGCCGAAGGCGAGGATCCCGACTTTGACCTTATCAGTGCCGACATCCCGTTTTCAAAACGGTCCGGTGTGAATACGATTGATGTTCTCGCTCAGATGTGCGATGAACTCATCCAAACTAGCCTTAATACTCTGCGTGACGGTGTGCAACGTGCCCCGGATGCATCCGCAAAGAAAGAACTTCGCATCAAGACTCGCGCACTAGAGGCATTCCAGGCGGAGCTGGAGCACAGGCTTCTCGGACATGTAGGGAAGCCTCGAACCCGTTTGGCCCAACAATACTGACAACTGGCAAGACTATCCAGGTCGACCACATGCATGCTCTTCGCGGCCGTATACGGCGCGAACAGGCTGAGAAGACGTCGTTGCGAGACGAAATCATGCGCCTCCGGGCAGAACGAGAACAAGTCGCTGTTCGCAAAGAAGCTGTCAGATCTAAACACGAAAAAGCGAAAAGTGAGGCATTGGTAAGTCATAGGACCATGAAGCTGCAGAGGGAAAAGCGTGGCTAATGGGATGTAATAGCACCAACTCGGTACCTCTTCAGCCATGCACGATATTGATCTCGCCGTAGAGCGTGGTCGTGGCGCCGACGACTTGTCGCCGGCGGCTGAGAAGAAAGCCAATCTGGCAAACCTTGAGCTCCTTATTTCCAGAATAACCGACCAAGCGTGCACCAAGAGTGATGTTGGCGGCACAGCTCGACAATTGAGGGACTTCAATGCCTTTCTCGAAAGAGCGGCATTGGCTTTGGAAAACAGATGATGAAACTGATGGCATCAATCGGTATGGCTGTGAGAATCCTGGAGCCTGGACTAAGGGCGTGGGGCTGGGTGCTTCTGGCAAACCGGCACAGAATCTGCTGTGCATTCGGCGATTACGGCACTTCAAATTGACTCTGGATTCGAGGGTTCAGCCTCAATCTAGTGCCGACCGGCACCCGAAAGGCCGCAGCCGCCCTTGTGTCTGCGCTTCGGTCCCAATCTGGACCAGTCCACCGTATAATGGAAGCGCGGTGTGGCTTTCGTGGAGGTTGCGTCGTCAGCTAACACGTATACTTGATGCTCGTGCAACGCCATCCGGTTCTATCGGCAACTTTCAAACCAGCTGAGAGTCGCAGAAAGTGCCATGATCGACTACGTCGCCACAACTTGGGCATGGGATTGCTAGAATCGGTGCTGGACAAGGTGCCACGTCCTGATCATCCACGTTTTTTCTCGTGAGAACTGGTCAGCCCCTATTAGCATACAGTGCCGTGTTGCCGGACAAAGGCGCCAGAGCTATAGCCTCGAACCTTGCACGTGGGCTCAGATATGATAATGCGGCCTCCAAGAGTCAAGCGCCACCAGAGGGAGGCAGCCAAAAAGAGAAAATGGCAAGGTTCGTTGGGTCATTGCCATCGACGCGGTCGAAGCTTGTTGTGGGTGCCTGAAGGTGGCAGCTGAATACATTTGAAGGATAAATGACCTTCCTACTGAGCCAAAACCATTCGTGTGTTCTACATCGAAAAAGTCCGAAATTCCTGAGTGAAACCAAATAACGACACGTTTGTCGCCGATCGCAACTTTCACTACACCATCGACATCATGGCGACGCAAGACGCACCACAGCAGCAGGCCCCTATGGAAGCTTCCGCTGATGAGGTCATCAGCAACCAGCCTGTATGTTTTACACCACTGTACTCAGCGTGCTTCTCTGACACCATGTCCTTTACAGGTTGCCGAGCCGCAGCCCGATGTCGAACTGGGACTTCGTGGAGGAGAAGAGGCTGGTTGTGAACTTTGCTGCGGCCTCTGCGGCTGTGAGGAGTCCTGCTGTTAAGCTCTAGAAGGGAATAGTGCGAGACACAAACTCAAGACCAAGAGAATTGAAGTGTTTAAAGGTTTTTTTTAGCAAGAACTAGATCACTGTCGTAAGATGCGTGATCAGAAGTGTAGTACCATCGTCGACGTCAGAGCCGGCACGTCGGTCTGTGTATCAACGGACCCAGCGCACTGAAGACTGGATGGCTACTTGTGATGGCCCGGCCAGGCTCTCTATGGTAGGTCGCGGGGCTTTTATGGCCAAAACGCTTTTCGATTATTTTTTGGATCAAACTATCGTAGGTGTGTCATGTACTCCTCTTCCTAGGTACTTACTATGTATATCACAAACACGAGCTCAATCCCGGCCCTATCACGTCTATAGGCAGCGGCTATAGCAGCTTTGCCACTTTTCCCATTTTGGTTACCTAGGTGCCTTACTTATTACAGTGAACTTACTGGCATGGCCGCTATGGTCGTAGTGGGCCAAGTAGGTACCATGACGACCATAAGTATAGTGGACTAGCTGGCTGCCCAAGCTCGTCCCAGCTGGTGACTAGGTAAGATACTGGTATTCTCTAGGGTGCCTGATTACCTTCTGTTCCTATTCTTTGGGCTTGGCCATGGAAGACTTGCTCTCTGCCATGCCCCCTGCCTTTTGCCCTCTATCGTGCTGGGTCAATGTACACACTCCTGAGTTCTCAGCTCGACAACATTTGCCTCACGTAGAACGCAGGTGCCACCATGTCGAATCACTGAGGAAGGACGGGACGTGAATGTTAGCATGGGGCGCTATCGGTTGTACTGCTCCTTCGTTCGCTGCAAATTCTTGATCTACAATACTTTACAGGTAATACATCCCGAGTGTGTACAGATCGTGTCATGATGCTTGGCTCATGAGGGACTGAAGCTTTGTACAGCGAGACCTGTCTCCCGCCGATTTCGCTAGCGACGGCCTGCTTACAGGTCTCGTGGGATGACCTTTATGAACCCCAGGAGGTCTTCATCAACACCTTACCTGAACCGAAAGATATCCGTGATCTTCTCGGCGATGCTGGTCTGCCCCCCAGCTTCTCTCTCTTTGCGCGCCGCGGCCTGCTCATCCCATAACTTTTGGACGTCCTTAGCCACAGCCGCCTTCGCTTGAAAGTCAGCTCGCAGAGCCGCCTCTTCTGTCGCTCGCTCCGCTACGGGCAATTTGTCGAGCTGCTCATCCCAGCTCTTGCGTAACTCGGCGCCGGGCTCGATTGCATTCTCTGGTTTGGGGAAGACGTTCTTGAACTCTGGTGCCCGGCAGGCCGCGCTCCTCTGCCCCCTTAATCGCCTTCTCTTGGTCGATCATCCGGACGTACAGGCTATCGGCGTGCATCTGGATGTCTTCGTCGACATGCGCCGGCCGATCAACGATGGACTTGTAGCCAAGGGCTTTTAATAGTCTCTGTGGTAGATCGCAGTCAGCAGAGCGCAAACCTGAAAGGTGAGGACTAGAATCATACCGTTTGCATGGTATAGCACCTCTCGAACCGTTGTACTTGCTTTCGGCACATCTGTAGCCGGTCCTCCCAAGCACCGTTCTTCATGCAGTTGATCCACTCCTCCTGCTGTATGGCGCAATTTTCGAGTGCCGCGCGACCAAGGTTGTATTTTCGGTCCTTGTAACCCTCCAGCACATCCATAAGCTTCTCATGGTCGGTCTTGGACTCGGCCTCGATCTCGCCCTGTGGTTTGTACCCCTTCCAAAGGTGCGCGTAGCGGCCGTCTTGGAACAAGCTCTCTTTCGGTACAAGCGGTCTCGCGGAGTCGTCGACTGGTGCCGGTGGTGCTGTGACTTCGGTAAAAGGCTTCGTCTCTGATGGCGTAGAGGAGACTGTATTGTACTTGACAGGGGATTCTCGCTGTAGAAACTCGCGGACTTTGGGGTCGATGGATGCAAGAGGATCAGACGTCTTGGGCGCGTCCGTCCACCAGCCGTCTAGCCAGCCCATCTCGATTATGGTATGTGTCTTGCGTTTGAAAGATCGTTCGTTGCCGGCTGCTGGTTTGCGTCGCTCCGCTTCTCCTCGTAGCTCTGTACCTAGGTCTGCTGGTGGTTCTTTGGGTGGAAAGATTTCAATCGCCAATCAGCTACTGTTGAATCTGCAAATGCACTGTGTTTCCACACACCACACTGTTCTTTAGCACTGTAGCCAGATAATCTTTGGATATTTCAATTATTGTTCGATTGACTAGGTTCACTTTCAATCTGAGTCTGTAGATGTAGGTTGTGAAGATTTGCGGACATTCAGGTATTTTATAAGCTTGCCGTGTACGCCAGGACCCAAATATGGACCTATACTGGCAACTGTCAGCACAGTGGTCTTGTGGCTGAGGCTTGCATAATTTCTGGAGCGTTTTTCTCCTCAAAGAATACTCGACGCACAAGATACAAAGACGGGAAGATATGTTGACAACGATATACGGACCTCGCCCTCCACGGAGAAGGATGGAGTCGCGGTGAGTGATGCGCCATGCCGAGGCATTCATATTCCTTGAGACAAAAATTGGGTTGTACCACGGGAGAGCAGGTACATCTCAGAGTGTAGTCAAGGGTGGGGTGAAAAGGGGAGTATAGTCATGGGAACTGACTTCACATGCGTACTGGTCAAATATCCAGCCGCTACATCACACGAACAGACCGAGAGGGGGCGAGACGAGGATGAACGAGCCGTCGTTTTGTCATTCCACGTCAAGCCAGATCGCCCTTTCCCCAAAAAAGGAGTTGACCATGGCCTGGTGCGCGCGCTGGCACGCGACACAGATCCGCCTCTCCCACCCTTTGGTCCCAGTCGTCAAACAATCCATAACCGTTGTGCCTCACATGTCGAAACCATCTTCCGTTGGTTTTGGCTGATCGAATTCTTTTGGTCTGATCTGCATCTATTGCACAAATCATGCGGATGCCGTTCCCTGGTGACCGCCCATCCGGTAGCGTAAAGCAGAACCCTCACCGCGTACACGCCGTAAATGCCAAAGAGCCGATTAGAACTTGCTGAACTTCTTGACCGCCTTGCCAGTTCGGGGAAGCACACGGAGGACGTTGAAGCGGACCTGCACTTCGTTAGCGTAGAGCCAGGCATCGGCCTTGCGGCTGCGTTCCAGTCGCAACATACAGTCTTGCTCAGAGGCCTGCACTGGCCAACGGTGACCTGGTCACCCTCCTCAACACGGAAAGCGGGGGAGACGTGGGCAGCGAGGTTCTTGTGGCGCTTCTCGTAACGGGCGTACTTGGGAATGAAGTGGAGGTACTCGCGGCGGATGATGAGAGTGCGGTGCATCTTCGTGGAGACAACGGTGCCGGTGAGGATACGGCCACGGATGGAGACCTGGCCGGTGAAGGGGCACTTCTTGTCTGAGAGACGCGTCCATGTTAGCAGAGTCCTTGAGGTGTAAACATTCCAGTGTGACCATGGCTCCTTTGCGCGCATTCGTCTGCAAGAGACAGTGGTTCGCTCGACGCTCCAAGCATGCTCCCCCTCGCGCTTCAGAATCTTTCCAAGTATCACGATCCGACGTACCGATGTAGGTGCCCTCAATGGCGGTCTTGGGGGTGCGGAAACCCAGACCGACGTCCTTGTACCATCGGCGGCCACCCTTTCCAGGGCGCGTGGACTTGGCCTTGGTCTTCTGGTTGAGGAAGATGCCCTGCTTCTGGAAGGCGCGCTCCGACTGGACGGTAAGTTCGGTAGCCATGTTGTCGGTAGTGATCGGTCACGGCTCTGCAGAAAGACAAGTCAGGACGATGTCGACAGAAAGGGCGGTGGTTCGATCGATAGGTTGGTATGCTCGCGACACCTACCTGGCGGTCGTGGGGGAAGGTAATCACCTCAACTGGTTGTCGGCGGATTGATGGGCGTTGGGCGATGGACGATGATGCGGCTTACAACTTTTGCTGAGGTAGGCGACTGGGTTCGAGATCACAAGAATTAGGGCCTGTGGGTGGAAAATTTGGCGAGGGGCAAGCCACGGCTGCGCCACATCTATTTGGCCATATGGGGCTGGAGCATATCGATAGAGGTGGGGCATCCGGAGAAATCCGATGCCTCAGCAACGCGTGGACCTTGTTGACACCAGCAGGCGAGAGAGCCAATCATGGGGCCTGTCAGATGTAAACATAGGAAACCCTTGTACATGCAGCCCACTTTGACTGAACATGGGCATGCGCGACACCATCATCACTAACATCGTCTCCCACTTGCACCTCGACGCGACCCGAATCCTCGTCACCAGAAGAAGCGCTTTGCTGTCGCCACATCGCTACAGCATTCAACATGTCTTCTTCCGGCGACGCGACAGTTCCAGCTACGCGCAGACTGCGCAAGTCTATTGGCGGCCAAATATCGTCAGCCAAGGCTACAGAGAAAGAGAACGTGACACTTGATCTTGGAAGCAGTTCTCTTGCTGCCAACCGGAAGAAGTCGCGAAGCAAGAGCATTGGGCCTGGTGGCCTGGACGTTCTGAAGAACGCCAACGGTAATCGAAGAGCCGTATGTGCCATGCTCCCTGTTGCGATATGAGTGAAGATCCTAAAATGTCACAGT